AACGGACAAATTCATCTTTCAGATCAATCTAAAAGAACGTCCACACACTAGAAGAGGATTACTTTCCCTAGTTAGTTCTAAATTTGATCCACTAGGTTTCCTTGCTCCAGTTATTTTGCCAGCCAAGAGACTTCTGCAGGAGATCTGTCGCCTGAAGTACTCTTGGGATGAATGCTCCCGGAGAGCATTGTTAAGAGCTGGATGAAGTGGATTGCGGGACTCAAGCATCTGGAGGGATTTGGAGTGGACAGGTGCGTTAAAACTAAACATTTTGGTTCACATGTCTCTGCGCAGATTCACCATTTTGCTGATGCGAGTGAAGATGCGTATGGCACGGCGAGCTATCTGGTGCTGCACAACTCCAAAGGCCAAGCGCAGTCCACTCTTCTTATGGCCAGAGCCAAAGTTGCACCACTGAAAACTCCTACAATTCCACGGCTGGAGATAACTGCCGCTACAGTTGCAGTTAAGATGGACAAGCTGCTCAGAAAGGAGCTGGAGTTGGAGCTTGAAGATTCAGTTTTCTGGACTGATAGTACTGCTGTCATAAAATATCTGAACAGTGAAACAGCACGATTCAAGACATTTGTGGCTAATCGTGTGACAGCCATCCTGCAGCATTCACAACCGTCTCAATGGAGGTACGTCAGTTCCATCTCTAACCCTGCCGATTACAGTATGTTTCCAGGGGACTTACTACTGATGCCTTCCTGCGGTGTGAAAATTGGCTGTGTGGACCAGATTATATTCTCCATTCTTCTGATCTGTGGCCCACAAATCCAGATCCTACAGTTTTGGTGGGTGAAGACTTGGAAGTGAAAAGAGTGGCTCAAATACATGCCATCCAATCACAAATGGTCGACGCTGCGACAGACAAGGTAATGCTTAATTTCTCTTCTTGGATCAAGTAGAAGCGAGCTGTCGTCTGGTTTCTCAAGCTGAGAACGTTGCTGATGGAGCTGAGAGCCAAAAGAAAAGAGCTACGGATATTGAAGAATGAAAACAAGATGGACGTTTTCAAAAGAAGTCTTAAAGGAAAGAAAATGACGTGTGCTGATTTGGATGAAGCAGAGCTGGAGATTGTGAAGTACATTCAAAGGCAGCATTACCACGATGACTTGATGATGTTGAAGGAACATCACAGAGTCAAAAGAAGTAGCCCACTACACAAGCTCAATCCAGTGTTTCGGCATGAGGTGATGAGAGTGGGGGGAAGATTGAGTCGTTCGGCCATGCCTGCTGAAAGTAAGCAGCCGGTTATTTTGCCAAAGCAGTCTCATGTTGCCATTTTATTGTTAAGAGACATTCATGAATTTACGGCTCATTCTGGCAGAAACCACATGTTGGCAAAACTCAGAGAGAAGTTTTGGATCCCTGGAGCTAATGGAGCTATCCGGGCGCTGCTGTCCAAGTGCACAACCTGCAGAAGATTTCATGGTGCAGCTGGTAAACAGTTAATGGCTGACTTACCTGAGTGTCGGCTGCTTCCTGACGACCCGCCCTTTACCAGAGTCGGAATGGATTACTTTGGTCCCTTCCTGGTGCGGAGAGGGAGAGCCAGGGAATTTCATGGCATTTCAACCCCCCTGCTGGTTCGCATCATGGTGGAAGCTGGGAGAGGCTAATACGCTCGGTCAGGAAAATACTAAATGTGACGATAAAGGAGCAAATTTTGGATGAAGAAGGCCTACAGACTGTTATGTGAAGCAGAAGCGGTCCTCAACAGCAGACCCATCACCAGAGCTTCTTCAGATTTAAATGACTTGGAGGCCTTTACACCAAATCATCTTCTATTGCTCAAAACCAAGCTGATTTTCCCCCTGGTGTTTTCAGTCGAGAGGATCAATATGCCAGAAGAAAATGGAAACAAGTCCAGTACCTGGCGGACATCTTCTGGAAACGCTGGTGTAAGGAATACCTCACACAGCTTCAAGAACGCCAGAGGTGGTCTACTATTGGATGAAATCTTCAAGTTGGTGACGTGGTGTTGATCGTGGACAAAACATCTCCAAGGAGCTCATGGCCCCTAGGAAAAGTGGTAGAGACTTTCCCAGACAAAAAAGGTCTTGTCCGTCAAGTGAAGGTCCGGACCAAAACCTCGGAGCTCTGTCGCCCTATCACCAAATTGTGTCTTCTCCTGGAAGCTGACACAACATGAACTTTACATTTTAGATATCTACTTACTGTAGGCTCCCTTTAATGAATTAATCCATTTTAATAATTGTTATTGTAAACATGCTAACAATTAGGGGGCCGGTAATGTAGGAGCCTAAATAGAGGTTTAGTTGTTTTGATTTTATTTTGATACATTTCTATTTGTTTGTATTATTATTTGATTGAAATACATTATTTTTGTGATTAGATTTATGATTCATTGGCAATTGATTTAATTTGGATATTTTGCATCTAATTTAGTTAGCTGTTTTGTAAGTCATTATTGCTAAGTTAATCATTGATTTATTTTGATTTAATATATATTTTTGTATTTTTTCTCAGTCCTGGCCCTAGTTAAGGTGCAGGTGTGCCAGGGGGAGTGTGGAGTGGAGCCACACAGATTTTTGACCTCGATACTCTCTTGATATACTCTCTCCTCTAGTTCTTTTCTTTTTGTACAGTATGTGTTTTTGTTTTGTGAATACTCAGTAAAGAGTTTTTTAATTGCATTTTACTGTTCCCTGGATTTATTCACTCACTTTACACACTATATGGATTATGAGAGTGTCAACTACATGGCTTCACTGTTTGGACCCTACAAAGTAATTGTGGCAATATTTAATGATGAGTGCAGGGACGCATTCTTAAAGGATTCCTGATACATATCTAGCAAGGGTTGTGCAAGTTTATCTTTAAAAGCTTTGAATATTTCCATTGGTATTGAGTCCGGTCCTGGACTTTTACCTCCCTTCATGCACAACATGGCCTTAATAATCTCCTCTTTCGTAATGCTGAGTTCTAGCTCCTCTGCACTGTTATCCTCAAGAGTGGGGAAGTTCAACTGGTCCAAAAAGTGGTTCTGTTTAGGTAAGGCACTATCAGAATATTCTGATTTATAAAGAGTTTGGTAAAAACTAGAAAACTTTTATCTTTTTGGGGTCCATTGTAATCTCATCACCCTCTACTGCAATTGAAAATCTGTCTGATTTTGTTTAATACGCCGAGCCAGAATTTTACTGGCCTTCTCACCTTGTTCGTAGTATGACTGTTTTATCCTCAGTAAACTTCTCATGGCCTTATTTACTGATAATAAATTGTATTTAGCCCTAAGTTTGTTTAATTCTGAAAAAAGGGAAGGCGATGATTTTTTATTTACCTCCTCTTTCCAACTCTTCCATTTCAATTCTAGAAGTTTTAAATTTAAAGGATGTATAATGTATATAGTCTGGTATAGTCTGGTTTAGTCTAGTTTAGTCTAGTTTAGTCTAGTCTAGTTTAGTCTGGTTTAGGCTGGTTTAGACTGGTTTAGTCTGGTTTAGTCTGGTCTAGACTGGTTTAGACTGGTTTAGACTGGTTTAGTCTGTTCTAGTCTGTTTTAGTCTGGTTTAGTCTGGTATAGTCTGGTATAGTCTGTTCTAGTCTGGTCTAGACTGGTTTAGACTGGTTTAGACTGGTTTAGACTGGTTTAGACTAGTTTAGTCTGGTTTAGTCTGTTCTAGTCTGTTCTAGTCTGTTCTAGTCTGTTTTAGTCTGGTATAGTCTGGTATAGTCTGTTCTAGTCTGGTTTAGACTGGTTTAGTCTGGTTTAGTCTATATGTGATGCGATCTGGGAAAACCCGTCGGATGTCGCGCTAGCACGTTCCGAGTAAACAGTGAAAATAGGTTGAGTGTCATTTTTTGGCTAAATTGTGTTTTCATTAAATAATTATTATATAAATAATAGAAAATAGTGCAGAAATGGGACACACAGGCAGACCAATCAAACTACATATGCACATAGAATAAGCAACAATTTAACAGAATAGGGAATAGATCATACAATTGGCTATAGGAGGTGAAACAGGTGATTCATTGATTTACTAAATTAATTGACTAACCTAAAAGCACACCCACTTTGCGTTTGATTGTGTTTGAGTGTGAAAAGCATGCTCTGGGTTAGGTGCATATTTAATGGTAATAATTTCTCACTATCATCTGAACATCTGGCTGCTGCATTCAGAAAACATACTGTATTCCATGTTCTCTCATTGTAATGAATAGTTTATCATCACGTTTGGTTATCCTGATTACTGTTATGTGCAGACAGTTTGACCTCCTCAGACCGTCGTGACTGGTTTTGTTTACTGTTTTTTTGTAGCGGTAACGAGCAGCAGAGAGGAAACAGCGGTAGCTCCCAGTGTTCTATACAAAATGGACGTCACGCCTTCATCGAACAAATCCCAAGTCCCTCACCCCAGCTCTGCTCCTGTGGACCAGGTCTACTCTCCTAAAGTCTTACTAAATTGTGTGTCTCTCTCTCTGTCTGTCTCTCTGTGTCTCTGTGTCTGTCTGTCTCTGTCTCTCTGTGTCTCTGGCTCTGTCTTTGTGTTCCTCTGTTTCTGTCTGTCTCCTTCTCTGTCTCGCTGTTTCTGTCTGTCTCTGTGTCTTTCCTCTGTATCAGTCTCTGTCTTTCTCTGTATCTGTCTCGTCTCTCTGTGTCTTTACTGTGTCTGTCTCTCTCTGTGTCTGTCTGTCTCTGTCTCTTTCTCTGTATCTGTCTCTGTATCAGTCTCTCTATTTCTGTCTGTCTGTCTCTGTCTTTCTCTGTATCTGTTTCTGTCTGTCTCTCTATCAGTCTCTCTATTTCTCTGTCTCTGTGTCTGTCTGTCTCTGTGTCTTTCTCTGTATCTGTCTCTGTCTGTCTCTGTATCAGTCTCTCTATTTCTGTCTGTCTGTCTCTGTCTTTCTCTGTCTTTCTCTGTATCTGTCTCTCTGTCTGTCTCTCTGTCTCTGTATCAGTCTTTGCCTCTGTCTCTGTCTTTCATGTTAAAGATGGATTATCCTCATGTTTTCAGAGCCAAACACACATGGAACACTGTGGAGCTCCCCCTGCTCCTGTCTGGTCAGTCTGAGTTCTGCAAAATATCTCACAAGAGCTGCTCATTTGTACTGATGGACATTTTCTCTCCCCAGCTGCATCTGCTCTCCCCCCACCCCCCACACACAGCCCTCCTGCTTCTTCTGCAGCGCCCCCTACTGTCCACTACTGCCCTCTCAGTTCCTCGCTCTCGGCACAAACAAAGACTTCATTTCTCAGCTTTCCTTGCTCCTCACCGCTGCTCTGAGTGAGGACGCTGGAGAGAAGGAGGCAACGCTACAGGGGGAAGAGGAGGAGCCAAATGATCAACCTGAAAAAACTGAGCTGGACGACATAAGGTCAGACATGCATGGATCAACTGCTTCGGTGTGTCGAAGCGTTTCATTGGCTCAATATGTTTCCCAGCTTCGCATTGGTTCAGAGCATTATATGGCGCTTCCTTGGTGTGACCGCTTTCAGTATAAATGATGAATCAATATTTCTTTACAAAGTTGGGTAATGAGGAGACAGAGTGGTGAACTTGGCAACTTTAATGGTATCTGCAAGTGAAAAACGGAGATGCCTGGTTTGGGTTCGTTTTTATTCAACAACCAAACAAGCAATTGTCTCATCAAATTTTAATTTAATGTAATCTACCATTAAATTATAGCGACAGTGGCTCAGTTGGTAGAGCATAGACCTTAGAGCCTGAAGGTCGTGGGTTCGAGCCTACCATGAGACCTACTTCACGACTCCCACTGTTGACTGCTGTCGTTGTGTCCTTGGGCAAGACACTTAACCCCACTTTGCCCAAAGCCCCTGCTGAAAGATCAAGGCTCCTGTGGACTCACCACCTGCAGGAGGATCAGAGAGGGGCTGGTGCTCTGTGTACTGGGTGTAGCTCTGACTGCCACCCCCCCCCCGACCCAGAAATGGATTAAGGGGAAGAAAATGGATGGATGGATGGTAATCTACCATTTTTGTTTCATGGTGAAATAGTCAATATTAAAATGTGGTGTGGTGCGTGCTGTGCTCTCAATTCAGAAGCTTGTCCACTAGATGTCAGAGTTACAAGCTTGTCTAAGCTAAGAGTCATCGACTCATTTGAAGAAAACTGGCAAATAGCCGTGGTGTGTTACGGCCCGTAACACACCACGGATGAAGCCCCGCAACTTACGGGGCTTCATCTGCCCATTGCTACTAAATAGTTTGGCGGTCGCTGTCATAGAGTATAAATGAAGTCAGCGGGCTACAGACTTATCTCAGTAAATTCTGATTTTACAATGTACATTTTTTAGATTATAAGACATATATTCATACAGGCGTTACTTTCAATATTTAGGCATTCCAGTTAGTATGTCATGTAATTGGAGGTTCTTTGGAAGGCAGAGAGTTGGTGACTTGACGTTGTCTTTGTCTTTGCTCGTCCAGTCCAGGCTCAAGGGATGGATATTTCGAGATGGGATTGGACGACTCATTAGAAGAATCGACTTCCACCTCACTTCCCGTTCATGGCCCTTCTCTCCCAGTGGCAGAGGAAAAGGAGATCCAGCAGGAGGAGGTCCGACACGAAGAGGTCCAGTGTGAGGGGGCGGAGGTCTGTAAAACTGCCTGGTGCATCTGCCTTCAGCAGAGGAGTGAGGACGAGACTTGCATGAACACGACCTGTTCGGTGCTGACACATCGAGTTCTTGGACTGCTCTTCCTGTCACATGACTTCAGTCCCACCAATCAGGATGCAGGTAGGCCTGTCACCTTAGTTACTATATCAATTTATTGTTCAATACTTGATGGATGGGACGAAAAACAGGCGCTTCACTCTCACTGCTTAATGTCAGTTTAACATCTGGAACAGCGTCCCTCTCACGACAAGAGAATGCCCCACGTTTAACACATTTAGGACTCAATTAAAAAACTGGTTGAAATCCAATCAGCGATGTGCTCATTAGACCCTACACAGAACAGATTCAGATTCAGTTTATTTGCCATTTGCAGTAAAAAAACCACATTGGAATACATTAGCGAAAAGTCTCCAGTGTGCACAGACAAATACAGACCTAAAACAACATTAAAAGACAAAAATAAAACAAATAAAACAGTAAACAAAAGTCACTGTGAAATCGATCGACTAAAACAGTTTCAAAACAAGTGCTAATCATTAAAGTGCTCTGTTCACACTGATAACAGCTTGTGGATAAAAACTGTTAGCGTAACGAGATGTCCTGCATCTCAGAGAGCGATATCTTCTGCCAGAGGGAAGAAGCTGGAACATGGCTTTCCCAGGGTGGCCAGAAGAGTCATTAACAATCCTAAGAGCTTTGTTTAAAAGTCTGGATTTATAAAGAACCTCCAGAACAGGAAGCTCACAGCCCACGGTCCTCTTTGCAGAGCGGAGCACCTTGTTTAAAGCTCTCTTTTCTTTATCTGTGATGTTTCCAAACCACACAGACACAGAACCAACAAGTAAACTCTCAATGGTGCAGCGATAAAAGTTAAGCACAATCTTAGAGTTAGTGGTAAATTCTCTAAGTTTACGCAGAAAGTAGAGACGCTGACGACCTTTCTTAACGACTCGGTCAGTGTTTTTAACCCATTTCAGGTCATTAGACAGAGTTAAACCCAGAAACTTGCACTCCTCTACGATCTGCACATGGGAGTTGTCGATTACGACAGGCAAATGAGAACTATTGCGACTGAAGTCGTAGACCAGTTCACATGTTTTCGATGGAGGTTGTTAGTTTTACTCCACTGAACCACATTTTGTATCTCTGCTCTATAAGAGGATTCATCATTGTCACTGATGAGACCGATGATGGTGGTGTCATCAGCATATTTGATGATCAAGTTTGAGTCAGAGGAGGACACACAATCGTGAGTGTACAAAGTAAAAAGCAAAGGACTCAAAATACATCCCTGAGGAGAACCAGTGCTCACAGAAACAACATCAGAAAAACAGTCATTGATTTTCACTCTCTGAGATCTGTCAGTTAAAAAGCTAAAAATCCATTTACACATGGCAACACTTAAACCGAGAGACATGAGCTTTTCAATCAGTTTACCTGGGACAAGGCAGTTAAAAGCAGAGCTATAATCGATGAAAAGCATTCTCGCCACAGATTTACTAGTGTCCAAGTGACTGTAGACAGAGTTCAGAGCAAAGGAGATGGCATCCTCCACACTCCTGTTCTGTCTGTAAGCAAACTGGAGCGGGTCAACACTCACAGGGATCTGGCTCTTAATGAAGTCCAGCACAAGCCGCTCAAAAGTTTTCATAAGAACAGACGTGAGGGCCACAGGACGATAGTCATTCAGGCATGTCACAGGAGTTTTCTTAGGAACTGGAATGATGGTCGACTCTTTGAAGCAGTTCGGCACAGTACAGTTCCTTAGCGACAGGTTGAAAATGTCTGTTAGCACAGGGGCAAGTTGCTCAGAGCACAGTTTCAGGACACGAGGAGGGATGCCGTCCGGGCCTGGGGCTTTCCGGACTGTGGTCCTGCACTGAAAAAAAAAACTTGTTGAATTTACACAACTCATTCACATCATGAATGGTGAAAAAATCATTTTGCCTCCATGTATTATTAGCCCATTAAGTTTATGTAACAATTATGTGTTGAGATTACTCAATTATTATTTGTGAAATATAAACAATTTAATCACATTGAGGTTATGATAAAAATGATGTTGATCCTATACATTCTGAATCAGTTACAGTTACATATTTTGTTTGTATCATGGAATAAATTCATGATGTACAGTGTACTCATTTTTTATTTGTAACTTTAACATGATTCAATAGCTGTGTTATCCCAATGCATCAACCTTAAATCAGAAATTCCTCTCGTTTAAATATCTATAAAAATGTATTGGCAGCATGTGTGAATAAATACTGTACAAAACAATAGATCATTTGAAAAAGGAGGATCAAAGTTAAATATTTAAATAACTCTTTATTGAAAGTGAATTTTCAGCAACCTGAGAACAACAATGATCCATGGAACCAAAACAGAAAACATTTTCCCGTAAGACACAGACTGAGCAGTCTGCAGCTCAGGAAGTAATTAGAAGGAAATTTCTCAAAACACTTACAGGTGACGCTGCTGCGGCCTGTATCGCTTCTGTTTCTATTCTGTTCTAAATACAATAACAAGTAACGAATAAAGAACTGTTACGGAACCGGCACCAAAAAGCAGAGACCTGCAAGAACCTTGAAATACACAACATTATATAGCGTATGTGTGTGCTCTATATGGTGTGTAGGTCTGAATGAGCTCTGAATGAGGAGTGCTGGTCTGAATGAGGTCTGAATGAGGAGTGTAGGTGTAAATGAGGTCTGAATGAGCTCTGAATGAGGTCTGAATGAGGAGTGTAGGTCTGAATGAGGTCTGAATGAGCTCTGAATGAGGTCTGAATGAGGAGTGTAGGTCTGAATGAGGTCTGAATGAGGAGTGTAGGTCTGAATGAGCTCTGAATGAGGTCTGAATGAGGTCTGAATGAGGAGTGCTGGTCTGAATGAGGAGTGTAGGTCTAAATGAGGTCTGAATGAGCTCTGAATGAGGAGTGTAGGTCTAAATGAGGTCTGATTGAGGAGTGTAGGTCTAAATGAGGTCTGAATGAGGAGTGTAGGTCTGAATGAGGTCTGAATGAGGTCTGAATGAGGTCTGAATGAGGAGTGTAGGTCTAAATGAGGTCTGAATGAGGAGTGTAGGTCTAAATGAGGTCTGAATGAGGAGTGTAGCTCTGAATGAGGTCTGAATGAGGAGTGTAGGTCTGAATGAGGTCTGAATGAGGAGTGCTGGTCTGAATGAGGTCTGAATGAGGAGTGTAGGTCTAAATGAGGTCTGATTGAGCTCTGAATGAGGAGTGTAGGTCTAAATGAGGTCTGATTGAGGAGTGTAGGTCTAAATGAGGTCTGAATGAGGAGTGTAGGTCTGAATGAGGTCTGAATGAGGTCTGAATGAGGTCTGAATGAGGAGTGTAGGTCTAAATGAGGTCTGAATGAGGAGTGTAGGTCTAAATGAGGTCTGAATGAGGAGTGTAGCTCTGAATGAGGTCTGAATGAGGAGTGTAGGTCTGAATGAGGTCTGAATGAGGAGTGTAGGTCTGAAAGAGGTCTGAATGAGGAGTGTAGGTCTGAATGAGGTCTAAATGAGGTCTGAATGAGGAGTGTAGGTATGAATGAGGTCTGAATGAGGAGTGTAGGTCTAAATGAGGTCTGAATGAGGAGTGTAGGTCTAAATGAGGTCTGAATGAGGAGTGTAGCTCTGAATGAGGTCTGAATGAGGAGTGTAGGTCTGAATGAGGTCTGAATGAGGAGTGTAGGTCTGAAAGAGGTCTGAATGAGGAGTGTAGGTCTGAATGAGGTCTAAATGAGGTCTGAATGAGGAGTGTAGGTATGAATGAGGTCTGAATGAGGAGTGTAGGTCTAAATGAGGTCTGAATGAGGAGTGTAGGTCTAAATGAGGTCTAAATGAGGAGTGTAGGTCTAAATGAGCTCTGAATGAGGTCTGAATGAGGTCTGAATGAGTGTAGGTCTAAATGAGGTCTGAATGAGGTCTGAATGAGGTCTGAATGAGGTCTGAATGAGGTCTGAATGAGTGTAGGTCTAAATGAGCTCTGAATGAGGAGTGTAGGTCTAAATGAGGTCTGAATGAGGAGTGTAGGTCTAAATGAGGTCTGAATGAGGTCTGAATGAGGTTGGTCTGAGGTCTGTAGAGGCACTTTCAGAGTCACTGAAAAAGCCTGTTTTTCCAGTACAAGTGCCTTGTTCGAAAGTTTGCCTCCATCCAGTTCCATGAATATTTTTTGAAACACCTCAAAGGTGTAGCGGAGGAATGTAGGGTACTGTAGGTTGAGTGCATAGATGAGTCCAAAAAGCATTGCAGTAGCCAATGCTACACTGTCCAGAGAGTCTATGACCTTAATTCCTTCGAGGACAATCCCAATGTCATTGCTTTCTTCATCTGCTCGGAAAATGTAGATTCCACATGTAGTCTGTTCTATGGCCTCATTACTGTTTTCATCCAAGTGCTGTAAAACAAAGATATGAAAAAGCAAGAGAAAATTACATAAGTGATCAAGGCTAGGGATCCCTTGCCTTGGCAACATAGTCTCTTAGAGAGCAACATAGTCTCTTCAAAAATCCCAGTTCCCACTTTTCTTTGAGCAACGTAGTCTCTTAAAAAAAAAATCTTAGACATGCCCCAAATCCTCAACTTGAGGCAAAGACACTCCACCCACCTGGAGGGGTCAAAGCACCTTTCTGGGCTCAAGCACCATCGCCTCAGATTTGGAGTCGCTGATTGTCATCCCACAAACCCCAGGTTATCAAATAAATTAGATACATAATACTAGGGTGAGGGCTGTGCAATATATTTCAGAGATTTTTTTAGGGCTGAATTGGAGTAAATGGTGCGTAAGGTATGGATGAGGGAGGATGAGGGGTAAGGGTGGTGGTTATTTTTTACATACCATATATTCCCGAACCAGCTGTTCGTGGTCTTCGCCCATATACGCACAGAGTCCCTTTAGGATGCACTCCCGCCTCACATGCACACTGACACTCTGAAAGGACATAACCAGCGGTAAAGAAATATCAACTGCAGTAATTAATTACTGTAGTAATAGTAATTAACTATTAAGGTATCACCAGTTATACATTTTTACAGTAGCCGTGTGGTCGGAGCTTTTATCTAGAGTTAGCTTAGCTCAGATGATACACACTTTTTTAAGGTCTGTCCAAGGAGCCATGAGCTGACTTGAGCCATATAGCATTAAAGGGGAAGGAGACCACTTACATCAGTCACTGGTGCCATGAGACTTTTGAGCTTTTGGCCCAACTGCCCCCCTCTCTTTAGAAACAGCTCACTCAGCTTAGCGGAGTAGAGATCCAGTCTGTACAGGAACTTGCACTGCAATGGGACGGTGGTGATCCTTTTGAATTCTGAATTTATCTGAAAAGGGGCAAAAGGACAAAGGAGGTCAGGTTGGAGGAAAACACCAGACTAACAGACATTGACCGTCTGTATTGAAGTAAAACAAGCTAATGACATACAATCAAATACAAATGGAGATATACAGTAAATCAAAATGAGCCTTACCTCACTGATCTCGAACAGAGCAGGCCATCTTTCCTGGAATTCCTTCACCATTGGGGCATCACGAACCACCTCTTTTCTTCAATGTGCGAAAGTCTTTTCCATTTTGTGGATCACCTCGGATCTATTGCTCCTCTTTTTCACATCAAGCAGAAGCTCTTTCCTGATGGCCTCCAGACTCTGCTCATTTTCATCCGAGGGGTATTTTGGGCAGAAATTGACCTCTGCTCTCTTAGGTTTTTTAGTTCCATATGCTGCGCTGTGCTTCCCATCAGGTTTGTTTTTCAGCGAGTTGACAACCACTTCCGGACAACCCAGCTTTCTCAAATGTGTACGGTAATTGGACAGTTTATCTTTTAAACTCTTCTTCCAGCAACTGAAAACAGCTTTCCCTTTACGAGTGTTGTCTGTGGAGTGGATTCGATTATGGTGGACAATAAGAGCATTCCATGTCTTAAATGTGCATGGACAGTCACTGGATGTGCATGGAAAACGAGAACTCCGCCCAAAATGTGGATGTTAAATCACTTGTAGTGATTCAAAAGGTGGGACCTACTTGACAATGCTTGAGAAAAGCCCTTACATTTCTACATTCCCACAGGGGAATCCCAGAACTAAACCCTGTAATACACAAAAAGTTATATTAGTCACACAATTTCAGCTCGGAATATGCAAGTAAGATTTTGACACCTGTGTTGGTACCCAATATGCAGTGAAAAAATACAGTGCAGTGTCTTTGGACCCAGAAATAGAATTATGAAGTGTCATAAACACCCAATTAGCCCTACACACCTTCATTTGGTAATTGATAAAAGGAAATGGACTTCAATAATTATTTACCTGAATAACGAATCCAATAGTGTGTGATATAAAATATTGACACAAACACACCCTTTCAAAAAGTCAATTTCCATTTTGTATGAACACAATGTTTCCCACACATTGTTAATACTTGTCAGTGCAGCTTAAATAAATAAATTAAAAAAACTTGACAAAATCAGTTTGATTTCTAAATGTGCATACCTAAATCTGCAGCTGCTCCGGGCTATGCCTCTTACATTAGTAACAGCTGGAATGCTACAACAGTAACCCTGCAGACAGGAGTCACTGCAGGTTCGGATGTTACTATTCAGAAACGCTACTTAAGATTTTTTTTATAGTACAAAATACAGTAATTTGGCATTTAGTAAAATGTTACTCTGAGAAAACTAACATTAGTAATATTAGACATACATCCATTTTTTATTTGGCATGCTATTCATAATTGTCTCCTGTCATCTAATGATTTACAAGCAAGCTAGGAGTCCTTGCTATAAACAAAATGAGGAACGAAATAAACCTATGAGGTCCAGAACAAGGAGTTTCCTTACACAAGAGTTCTTCCAAAAAGGTCATTCCAGCTATGAGGTTCACCCACCACCCAAGTACATTATCAATTTGTGGGAAACACTAACAGCAGAAGAAACATGACTTACCACTAGTGTTGTAAGATCAGGGGCCGTATTCCTAAAGATTCTTAGTGCTAAAAGTTGCTCCTAGTGGCCAAATTCTAAGAATTTTCTTAGAATCTTGACCAACTCTTAGAATTTCCCCTAAAAGTGACGAGTAGCTCCTAGTTAAGATAAAAGCTATTCCTAAAGAATCCTAGCTCTTAAGAGTGCTCCTAAGGGGAGATCCCTTAAGAGTTGAGAGGAGGACTTTTAGCGACTTAAAAGTTCCCTAAGAGCTCAAAATGGTGGACGGTGGAGACAGGAGAAATATTCTATACACTGGATGACAGTGAATCAGTGAAACGCTACAGATTGAGTCGAGCAGGAATTATGCTTCTGTAATATTTAAAAGTCAATCATGTGACCAGCTTCTTATAGGCTGGTCAGCAATAACAACTCATCCATTTTACCCTTGTTACACAAAAGTAGGTAGAAATGGTGAAAGTTGAAAGAGAGAAAATAACCAGCATGGTAATAATAAAAGCAAGTAAATGTAACTATTATTGCGTTAATACTGTACAAGTGGGCCTACATTTTCACACATTCAGTACGAATGAATGAATACTTTATTTTGAGCCATGGCAAACAAGAAAAAAGGACAAAAACAAACAAAACAACAACAGAAAAGAAGTACAAATACAGTTTTGTTTTATTAACAACAATCCAGCTCAAAAAGGAGTGAGAGAGGTTAAGACTTTTAAACTCCCTTGTACTTGATTTGTACATTGTATGTATAATATGTTTGTATTAATATTGTTTCCTTAATGCCTTATACGTCTGTCAGTATCACAGCCTTTACTAATCCTAACGTTATCACGATCATCATTTATCCATATAATATTTATAATAATAATTTTCTTTTTCATGTATATTATATATAGAGTAATATTTAAATTGTATGTATATATACATAAATATATATATATTATATATATATATATATATATATATATATAATATAAAATTATAAGTGCTCATGATATATACGTACTATGTATTTGTTAGAAATTGGTGCTGAGCAAGCTCTGATGATGTGGTGTAAAAGTCTATCTTACTATTCACAGTATTTATGCACCATTGATATATCTGACTTTATAGCGTTTGGTTATTATTTACAATAACACAGTATTCCTAAGATTAGATTCCATGATTGAGTTTGTCCATTTTAGGGCCCTTATTTTGCCCATTATCATCAAAAATATGTTTTTACTAACTTTTAAGATCAACCAATCACAGCGTCTGAAATGATGACTCATACCTAGCAACGGGGTCGGCCACGCCTCCTCACTAAGATAAAAGTTGTTGTCAATTCCTTGCTCAGAGTTCTCTAAGAGTGTTCTGGAATAACTTTTAAGCTAAGACTCATAGCTAGGAGTTTTTAGGGTAAGATAGGAGCTCACTGAGAGGACTCTTAGAATCTTTAGGAATACGGCCCCAGATATGTAGAATCGAGCAAGTAGGCCTGTGAATGAAAATAAACAGCAATTAGTGAAGTGCAAGCTTAGCCAAAAATATAGTGGTCCCTCATTTATCCCAAAATACAAGTATAGCTAACTTTCTTTATTACATTAATATTATCATACGTCTTGAAGCTGTAAAATCCCTCAGTTCACTTATGCCTGGTGAACACTGCCTTGATTAGTGTTGATTAGACCTCACATCACAAGCGTGGGGAAAATCCTGAGCGGGTCACCTCAAAATTGTTCTAAAAATAAATCCCCAAAAGAGCGAGACCGCGAAAGGTGAACCACGTTATAGCGAGGGACCACTGAATATCTAAGGAGATCAGTTGAAAGCCATGTCTAATAGATGTGCTATGAAAAAAATAATTTTAATTGGGAATCATAGAGAATTAACTTAATCAATTCAAAGTAGAACTTGCACCATTTGGATGATCAAGTCATGTGGAAGGGCGTGACCGAATCATGTTCAAAATAATGTGATAGGATCATGTTTAGAGCTTGCTGCCGGCTAAAACTTGAGAAAATACTCACAATATGCAACTACTTTATAATAACCCCCCAAAAAACATTACCTGAACTATAGTAAACGCCCCTTTGTCTATATTTGTGATGGAAGGAAAAGATTAAAATTCAATTACATCAGATACTGTTCATAGCTAAATCACAGGACATGGAATGACCGCGTGTTATTTTAGCAGTAAGCTAACCTAACATTCGATTCTTCCAATTAACTTTTCCCAAGATCATTCACAGCTCACTAACATTATTTGCATCAAATCACAAGAAATGCAAGCGTTTTAAAGCAAGACTAATATTAGTATTAGATAGCAATATGGCCTACGTGCAGGACTGTACAAGGACTCTACAAGGACTCCATGTTATGACTATGATTTGACTGTCTCTTTGTGACACGTATGTCTTTCGATGTGTGACGTGACAATGACTATATAAACTGTGTACTGCCTTTATTCTGTCTGGGAGAAAGAAACAGAGTAAACCAGTGGAACTTGAGAGAAACTTAAATAAACTTCCAGAGTTTGGCACACCACGATCCGTCTCTGTCTGCTGAATCCTAACAGATTTAGTGGAGAATGCGCGGCTCCGTGTGTGCCATTCTCTGGATTGTTTTGAGGGAGTTTTCTCTGTTTCTTTTTTTCGGCGTGTGGGAGCAACAGCACTTTATCTGGAAGGGGAGAAATCCCAGCGGACGCTGAAAGGGCTCGCTTTTGGATGGGCTTGCTCTTGCTCCCTCACTTTCTCTGTTTTGTGTTTAAATTGAATTTTTCGACGCGGAAAAGATGTTGGTCGACCTCTCGAACAGTCCGGACAAAGAAAATAAGGTAAGCAGACACCTTTTTTAATATGTAGAGTCTGCATAATTGGATACTAGCTAAATTTTGAGCTGTCCCGGAGGTCTGTCCAACTCTCTCTAAATCAAATTTTCTTTGTTTTGTCTCTGTCACGTCTTTGTCATGTCTTATGTTGTAGAAAACAGGTTAGCTGTGTGGGTAACCAGTCCCTATAGGAAAAAGGAACCCCTGACGTATCGGGGTCCCTGTCCTTTGAAGTAGTCAGGACAGAGAGAGAAAAAGGAACCCCTGATGTATCGGGGTCCCTGTCCTTTGAAGTAGTCAGGACAGAGAGAAAAAGGAACCCCTGACGTATCGGGGTCCCTGCCTTTGGAGTAGCCGGGGCAGAGAATAGAGAATAGAAAATAGTTAGTGAAACCATGGTGTAAAATTAAAAGTAATTATAAAAAGGGAAATGTTAAACACTAAAGAGTGCCTTTTGTTACAAATGTGGAAAGTGATCACTTCTAGACTTGGATGACAAAAGTTTAAAGAACAACATCAGTTATATTCGCTTTAAAAAGTAATCTTGAAAGTTATTCTTCTTTCTGTTTTTGCATTTTTGCTAAAACACTACTTTCTGTCTGTGTGTGTGCCGCACTATCTTGCTGCCGTTGTCAGGGAAACGGCCCCCTCCTTCGCTGCTCTGGCTCTGAATCAGAGCTACTGCTTTAGGATTTTTGGCTTTTCATAGTCGATATTCCGTTAAATTTGCGAAATTTGCCATTTGAACATTGTGTTAGACACAGTTA